AAGCCATTTTGGGGGGGGGGGGGGCACAAGCGCTCTCTATGCCCCCCTACCAGCCACAGTGCTTGCTGTCAGGGGGAGCACCAGCTCTCTCAGGGGGGCACATGCCCCCCTTCTACTCCCCATTCTCCACCTACACGTTGCCTATGGTGGATGAAGTAGAACATCATAGAGCAAACTTCTCCGTCGATGTAACTTGGAGTCACAGGATTCACGCTAGCTGAAGATGAGGTCCATAACATTTTTCATTCTTAAGAACATTTCACCTTCACCCAAACCCACTCTGTTTCCTTGAGACAACATTTGCATTTGTTTTGCCTGATTTTTGAATAAGACCAAAAGGCAAAACACAAAGATAAAAACACTGTTGTTGGTTTTTGATGCAGTGGTTGTTCCATAGCTTTAAAATTTCACCTACGTCTGTTAATAGCTTATAGCTAGGATCATCCTGGAGCCATGTGCATTCCATTCATACTGTTCCCCACTACTTGGTTCCAGCTTTAATTGAAAGTCCCAGGCTCTGGAGTTTCTACCATGACTGCTACTGATAGTTCCCTCCATATCCCAGCACATCCTACTCTCTCAACCCCAGTACATCTTACTCTCCTCCCAGCTCGTCAGGAAGGCACCCCTTGGGAGGATGAGGACCAACGATCACAAACTAATAGAGGGAAGATTTAGGCTGGACATAAGGAAGAACTTCTTCTCCATAAGGGTAACTAAAACCTGGAACACACTTCTGGCATAGGTGGTGCAGTCTCTGTCATTGGAGGTGTTCAGGAGGAGACTGGATAAGCACCTAGTTGAGCTAGTTTGAGCTCTTTAACTTCCTGGCTATGGTAAGGGACTGGACTCAATGATCTTACAGGTCCCTTTCCATAGTACGTTGAGTCTATGGCTTTTTCTAAAGGTTCAGTCTGCAGTTTTCCGTCTGATCCCTGAGTGGCTAGAATCTTTAAATATTTGCAGACCAATGCTCTATTAAATTTTATTTATCATTTAGCTAAGTTTATACATTTTTACCCCTTTTATTCTTTATCCATACATCAAGTCATCCAGCCTCAGTCAGTCTTGTTCTTGGCATTTGTTCTGATTTATCAGTCGCTTTCCTAACCATGTTGCACTCACAACTACATATGGTTGTAGAGACAGGTCTATGCTGCAGTCACAAAAATGTGAATGCATAGTGTAGAGGTACACTACTAGCTCTAACATAGATAGTTTTACTACCTCAAGTGCCACTAGCAATCTAACCACAGCAGCCTGGTGCCCACCACAGGTTATATTACCCTGCGGCCTCTAAATTGTTCCATGTACCCAAGCTAGCGTAGATACCGCCATGTATACTGCAGTTATGCCTTTTGATTACAGTCTAGGCAGACCTTACATGTGACTACACTAGGGCTGTGTCAAATTCTCTTCATTGTGTGATCTCATTCATACCTTGAATCTGTAGTTTGGAATTACACTGACAATTTTGACAATTATATCACGCTTCAAATTAAATCTGCTGCCTGTTACTGATCTTGGAGTAACTCCTAAACCTAACAGCTTCTTCCTATTGAATTATTTTTCCCATCCATGTATTCACTTTATTTTTTTTTCCAAAGTGCTTTTTACAATGAAGAATGTCAAGCTAATAATGTTCATTGCAAGTGAAATAACTGTATTTTGTCACATACTGCAAACCCTCAAATAAGAAATGCACCTTGTTTTGGGAAGGTACAACGTAAGCAAAAAAGGACAGTTCCAGCGGCAAGGCTGAATTGTGACCACAGGGACAGAGTACATTCTCTAGCTTCAGCAAATCCTAGAATTTTAACCCTCAAACAGCCACTGCCAAATTGTCAGCAGCTTTTGGCTGCTGAGTGAAAAGATACTGCCAATTTGGTGGAGACCGTGAAGGGGTTAAAACTAACTATGACATTTTACAGTGTCTCCATGCTTCCATTCCTCCATTCAAGTGCAGGGAGGGGAAAATCAGCTTCCCTGTTTAAGACATGCACCCCACTTTTGAAGGGCTTGTTCTCTTGTGGGGAAAGGTGCATGCCATATGCAATTAAATATGTTAGACTCATAATTTTTGCCAATGAAAGTGACATGGATTCATGGAGGAGTCGCACATTTCTGTCAGAACTTATGGTTTTTGTGCCAGTCGTTTCTGAGTTCCCTTTAATCAGAAATGCACGGTCATTAACTGGTCAGACCCCATGAAAGATGTAGGTAGCTATGCAAGGTAGAAAATATTGTCACCTTTCTTATACGTTTTATTTCAGGTATGAATGTTTCAAGTACAAGAATACAGTCAATTACCCGCTGCTTTGTATATTGATAGGATACAGTTTTGTAGTCAGCATTGTAAGTATCTGGTTCTTCTGCACAAGTTTCCTGTGTGATTTAGTAATTTCCTGCCACTTAAGGAATACCGCAGTGGTAGTGCTTCACCTTTTACATTTTGTTACGTACTGTTGAAATTGAGTAGGGGAATAATTCTGAGGGTAAATATTACATTGGACAAAATGCAACTGTCCTCTGGAACATCTTAATCCCTTTTTATAAATAGAAACCAGGCTTGTCCAACGTACGGCCCGCGGGCCGCCATGCAGCCGTCCAAGCTGTTTTCTGAGGCCCAAGGTTCTGCGACGGGAAATGAAAGTAAGCACTGTACTTTCGTTTCAAAAGCGGTGATGTGATACTGCTTTCTGTGAAGTCTTTGAATATGGCACGCCAGCCCACTGGGTAATAAAAAGTTCATGATCCGGCCCCACATTCAAAAAGGTTGGACACCCCTGATATAAACTGATTGAAAACACTTTACCTTTAAAAAGAAAAGTTCAGTTATGTAAAGAGAAGATCATCTAGATCTGGGACAGTGAGCAAAAAGAATGGTCTTTGTTCTAGTTGTCTTGCTGACTTGTTAAGACACCTTAAAGCAAGTTTCTGTGTTTCTGAGTTTGTTTACCCAGCCATAAGGCAAGGATAATCATGTTTAACTTCCGATCCCAATGCACTTTGCAAAGGTGGTTAGAAAGTTATACATATGCTAAATAGTCTTAAAGCAAAGCTCTTTAATTTGCAAAATGAATATAACAAGAGTCAGAATGAATGTGATTCCAATTCAGTGTCCTCACTGTATGATTGGCCTGCAGACCTGGATGGAATCTTTTTTCCTTTGCTGATAGTGAACAAAATGAAGTGTCTTGCCATTTCCATTGCTATCTGCTTCCCTAATATATGCATGACTGTATAGTTAACTGTTTTAGTCTGAAGGCAGGCAGAAGGGAAGGTAAAGATGGACCTTGTAGACTAACTGAGGTAGAGATGCATAAGCTTTCATGAGCAAGAGCTCACTTCCTCAGATGCTGTCACAGGATGTGCACAGAAAAAGGTATTGAATAGAGAAGGGACGGGCAATTATTTCGGGTGGAGGGCTGCTTGCTGAGTTTTGGCAAGCCGAGGGCCGCATGACAGGCAACCCAGGGCAGATAAATATCAATTTTCTAAATTTTTTAGGGGCCCCCCGTGCCAGATAGAATGGCCTGATGGGCCACATCTTGCACACCCCTGGAATAGAGGATGTGATTTGAATACAAAAGGCAGGGAAGGGAGATATGATGGGGGAAGGGAGGCAGTGCTAAGAGATGCAAACAAGTCCTAAATCCATAGGGACGAAGGGGTCCCAAAAGCTAATGCAGGCAATGGAATAAGGGTCCATAGTCCCTATTTAGCCCATACATCACACAATCCAGTCTGTGGATGATTTCTTCTGCAGTTTCTCAGAGGCGGCTTTTAAACAGCTACTCAGAGGTCAGTGATGTATTGTGCAGGGAGGTTAAAGTGTTCTCCCACAGGTGTGTGTATGTGTTTGGACATGATATCACGTCATTGTCTTCTCATTCTTTCCAGTAGAGATCTTTCCATCCAGTGTAGACAGCACAGGGGCACTGTAAGCAGGTGATGGCATACATGACATTAATAGAAGCCCCTCCTGCCCCCATCTTTTGTATTTGAATGTCTCTGTCTGATAGTCTGTTCTGTGCATAGCCTATCATAACATCTGATGAAGTGAGCTGTAGCTCACAAAAGCTTATGCTTCTCTGATTCAGTCGGTCTATAAGATGCATCTCTACCCTGCTTTCTTCCTGCCAGCTCCTGTATTATTCCTTTTGGTATATAGCCTGTTGTGGATACTTCTTAAACAGGGGTGGAACTCATTGCTATATCAGTTGGACACTTTGTTTGACATCCAGAATGACAGTTATAGAATCAGACTGAAAATTAAAGTAAAAAATTTTAGTTGCGTGCAAGAAAAGATTTCATTCAATTTTCCTAGTTTATATCAATGTTATATATGTTTAACTTTGACATTTTAATTTATGTGCATGCATGGTGCAGTTTAAAAAAAATTAAAATCCAGAATGCCTTTATTTTATTTCTCTGTTTGGAGTATCTATTTTAAATTGCCTTTTTTGTGTGATACTGATATAAACCCAGCAAAAAATATCACCAAAAAAAGTTCTAGAACTTGCTTCTCTCAGGAGAAAGAATTCAAAGGCTTCTCTTCTGCGTAGCTGGATTGTTGTGCTTTTATTCTAACATAGTTCAAGTATTTAATTTTCAACATTCAGAATAAGGAAAATTTATCCTCTAGTTGGGGTAACACTTTTCTTTGACTCTTTGCAGATTTACCTAAAATTGAAAGAACCTATATTTCATCAGGTAAATTTTACTTTTGTTTCCTTTAGTCTGAAAATAATCTTGTTTAAATAGTGACATTTCTTAAATCTTTATAGTACATCATAGTTGATTTTAAAAAAAATCCCTTTCACTTGTTTGCTATTTATTTTTGAGGAATATGTTTTGTATGTTGGGCTGCAATTCTGTTATTGGGTGACCTGGAAAAATTTTATGGAGTGATCCGAAACTTAATGAGTATATCTTGCTGAAGAGAGGAAGAATACCACTATTTGAACAAGTATTTAATGACTAATACAAACAGATGCTATTAAACAGTAGTGTGTGTGTTGGAAAGCAGTATCTGTCCATTGGGTTCTTCATTTGGTTCTAGACAAAATGTGACCCAAAACTGTGGTTGCTGCTCATGGCAATAGAGCCCGATCACTCTGCTAGCTCTGCGACATCTGAGCGTAGTGAAGAAAGCTGGATGCTATGTAAAGGCTGCTGCAGAGTGGGAAAGAAGGTGAGTGCTGCAGATGGCCCTTGCTATGGATTGTCATTGTGATGGCAATGGGCAGCAGGGAATAACACCAGCCTCCATAGGGGGCATGAGAGGGTCTCTACACCCAACTGCTATTGCCACTGCTGCAGCACAGGCTCCCCAGCACAGTAGTTCTCCACTTTGGTGCTTCAGGAGCTTGCCAGAGGTGACACAGCCATTATCACTGCCATGGGGGGAAGCTGTCCTGGGCACCTCAGTTTTCAGGAGGCATGGCAGACCTGAACCATGGAAGAACCTGTGCGCCAGCCTCCATAATGTAATGCAGGCAGGCATGCTTTTGTGCTGCAGCCTCTTCTCGGCTTGGCTCTTGACGTGCCTCCTGAAAAAAGATGTGCAGTGCAATGCAATGCCATCTGGTTGTGGCAATAATTACAGTGCTGCAGCACCCCCTTGGCCTGCCACCTCCTTTCTTCCCAGCATGTGTGTCCTCTTGTTCCCCCTCAGTATTCCCCACGCCCTGTGTGTACCTCATCCCTGCCAGCTGGGCGTCCCGGGCCTCTGTCCATCAAGGCAGTGGTTCTCAACCTTTTGCACCTCATGTCCCACCAACCATTTTGTCAAAAAATCCTCGTCCCACCATGATAAAAGCAAAATCCCACTTTTTGCACTGTTCAAGATATCTGTCGATTCATCTCTTTGAAGTGCAAACAACTTTGATTTTTTTTCAATCGGGCAATGAGCTCAAGTCCCACTTTCATAGATTTCATAGACATTAGGGCTGGAAGGGACCTTGAAGATCATCAAGTCCAGCCTCCTGGCCCAGAGGCAGGAAGTCGGCTAGGGTCAAAGGATCCCAGCAAGATAGGCATCCAAACATTTCTTGAATAAGTCCAGAGTAGGTGCCTGCGCTACTTCTGGAGGGAGTCTATGCCAGGTCTTGGGGGCTTGGACAGTAAAGAGATTTTTTCTTATGTCCAGCCTAAAACAGTCTTGTCGGAGTTTGTGACTGTTGGTCCTTGTTTTTCCTTGGAGTGCTCTGGTGAACAGGCATTCCCCCAGATCCTGATGCACACCCCTGATATAGGCACCCACCAGGTTCCCCCTGAGCCCGTGCTTTTCCAGGCTGAAGAGTCCCATGGCTCTCAGCCTTTCTTCATAAGACCTGTTCTCCTGTCCTCTGATCATGCATGTGGCTCCTCTGGACTCTCTCAAGCTTCTCTACATCCTTCTTGAATTGTGGAGCCCAGAACTGGATGCAGTACTCCAGCTGCAGCCTCACCAAGGCCGAGTACAGCAGGAGGATGACATCCTGAGATTTACTGAGAAGCGTCTGTACATGCAAGCCAGAGTTTTGTTTGCTTTACCAGCTGCGACATCGCATTGGTGGCTCATGTTCATCTTGTGGTCAGTCATGACCCCCAAGTCTCTTTCAGCCGTGGTGCCAGGAAGCATAGCACTGCCGAGCCTATAAGTATGCTGCGAGGGTTCCTCCCCCCCCACACCCCGAGGTGGAGTACCTTACATTCATTGGTGAACTTAGCCAGTGCACTTCTGACGCCAATGTCCACATCGCTGATAAAGATGTTAAAGAGAACCGGTCCGAGGACAGAGCCTTGAGGGAACACCACTGGTAACAGAGCGCCATAATAATTTGCTACCATCAACCACTACCCTCTGGGTCCAACCTTGGAGCCAATTTCCCAGCCATCGGACTGTTGTGTAACCAAGGCCACAGTTGGCCAATTTTTACTTGAGGAGATCATGGGACACCAGATCGAAGGCTTTTTTAAAGTCCAGAAATATGATGGCAATCTCTTCTCCCTTGCCCAAGTGGTATGTCACCTGGTCATAGAAGGAGATGAGATTGGTCAGGCAAAACCTACCTGTGACAAACCCATGCTGGCTGTCCCTCAGGCTGTTGCCTTCAGCCAGTTTATCCAGAAGGGTCTCCTTGATAATTTTCTCCAGAATCTTACCAGGGATTGAGGTCAAGCTGCTTGGCCTGTAATTCCCGGGATCTACTTTCTGCTCCCTCTTGAAGGTGGGTACCACATTGGCTTTCTTCCAGTCTTCAGGTATTTCACCTGAGCACCACAAGTTTTTGAATATTTTTGCCAATGGTTGGGCTATGACACCTGCCAGCTCCTTGAGTACCCTAGGGTGTAATCTGTCAGGAGCAGCTGACTTGGTGTCCAGCCTCTTGAGGTGACCCTTTACTAGATCAACACAGATGCTGGGTATAAATACGCCCTCACCCTGGCTGTCCCGCTTATTGCTAGGCAGGGTGGTCCCACTGATGAAAGACTGACACGAAGTACCCTTTGAGCAGATTGGCCTTTTCCTGAGTGTCAGTTACCAGCTGTCCCATTTGCTTCAGCAGGGGTCCAATGTTACCCTCGCTTTTTTTCTGACTCCCTACATACCTGAAAAAGGACTTTTTGTTATCCTTGATATGTGAAGCCAGATGGAGCTTGGTTGCAGCCTTGGCTTTCCTGATCCGCTCCCTGCTGGTATGGACCAGTGCTGAGTACTCCTCCTTGGTGTTACTTCCAGCCTTCCCTCCTTTATTAGTCTCTCTTTTGAGGCATAGGAGGTCCTCAAGTTCCCTGTTGAGCCATGACCTTCACATCCCACTGGTTGAGAAATACTGCATTAAGGCCTCAGGACTTAACCAGTTGATTCCCCCATACAAACACAGGATGCACTATTGCTAAACCATCCCAGACAAATGCCTATCCAGCCTCCCAGTGACCTCTAGTTGGAGAGATTGTTTCAGTGTCCAGCTCTTCTGACTATTAGAAGGAGAACTGTCACAATAATTTTTTTATGAATATTTATAATTTCCTAAATTCATTCCTAAGAATAATGTACATTTGATTACCTTTATGCCATAACTAGGGCCCTACCGAATTCGCAGCAGAAGTGGGGCATGCGGCAGCTCCTTTAATCTTGCAGGTTGCCCTGCATGCCCCCCACACCCAGGCCACTGATTGCTCGAGGGGCTCTGCTTGCGGCTTGCTCCTAATCGGCAGGGAGGCGAAAACTGAAGTTTTAAACATGGCGCCATCTTGCCTCCGGCCACTGATTGGCCAGGGGACCTGGTGGCCCCATTGCTTGCTGCTGACCAGCAGGGAGGCAAAAACAGCATGTCTAAAACCATGGTATTTGCTTCCCTGCTGATTTAGGAGCGAGCCACAAGTGGGACCCCTCCATCAGTCAGCGGTGGAGGAGCGTGTGGGGGAACCTGCAAGACTAAAGGAGCTGCAGCACACCCCACCTCTGCCATGAATTCGGTAGGGCCCTAGCTGTAACAGTTGAATTCTTTTTCAGGCCCTGTCTGTATGTGCACTTAAATCTAACTTTTTTTCATTGTAATACTTGATTCCTATTCCTTGTTCAAATCCCTTATCCAGTCCCTCTGCACTGATCACAGGAGGTGCAAGTGGATGCTCAAGTGCAGTGTGAAGTTAGCAATGTACCATCTCAGTCTATCCCACAAAGATGGAGCAACCAAGGTTGGGAAGGATCCTCTGCGAATCCAGGCCTCATGTTTCGGCTAACTACTTTCTAGTCTTCTGGGTTTTTTTCCTGACTTACACCCCTGCAATACTTACCACTGGTGGGAGTGTTCAGATTTGCTATTCCTAACACTATAACAATAGGCAAATGTTGGTTCACCAAGTATCAAGGCCTATTATGGATCCTAGCACTGGTGCGATGAGGAAGGGATGCCTATTTTGCACACAGTTGAAGCAAGTAGAGGCGGCCTTATCTGTAATGCATAGGTCTGGACTACAGAAGAGGTGCTTCACATGACAGTATGTTCCACCTAGCTCCTCACCGCTGCTTCCTTTGGCCATGTTGAATTAAAATGGGGCAGATAATGGACTTTCACTGGATATACACTTGTTTCGTCTTCCACTATGACATGTATGGATCAGCTTTGAATTGCGATACCTGTACTAAAGGCCAAAATTCAAACCATGCCTGGTTTCTAGCACAGCATATTGGACTTTATTTTTCATAAGTATCAATATTCAACAAATGTGTCGGGGTTTTCAAAAGAACATAAATGAAAATCAGCATTAATCATGAAACATTTGAAAAGTATTTTAATTACATGGTAGTAGCTTTAGAACAAATTCTGAAGAATAGTGTAATTGGAGACACAGAAATAAATGGAGAATGAGATAAAATCCAGTGTGAGTTTTCTATTGTTAGATTGTGTCAAAGTAACCCTGATATCTGTATTTAACAAGACAACTGATTTTCTGTACAAACAAAATGTTAGTAAAGCACTTAACACAAGTGCTATGTGAAAAACAATTGGTTTAAACTAGCGAGGAATTAGCACAAGGATTGTTACGGGGGGGGGGGCATGGAGCTAACTAAAGAGGAGAGAACAGTAGGTAGTGCAGAATCAAATCTATCCAGTTGAAGGGAAATTATCAGTAGAGCTACTTAAAGATCAGTCTTGGGATGGATAATGTCCATGGCACAAGAAGTAAGAGTGCGCTGATTATCAATGTGCTGATAACTC